GGAACAATATTGTTAATGAGTTGGACAATTATAGTTGGAAGCCGAAATTAGGAATGTTGCTCCCACGTTCTTCTAGGAGTTGATTTAAGATTCAAGTGTTTGTCACTTTGCAATTCAAGACTCTTGTGTAGTTTTCTTAAAGCCCTGAGTTAAAAAAGAGTTTCATGTCATGACTTTTTTTTTTTTTTTTTTGGGAAGAAGTATAGAAAGCCATTGAATGTAGAATGACAAATTCATTGCTTCGATTTTCATCATTGAGATAAATAAGGGAACAAAGGCAAGAAAGACCAAGATCTTCAATTATAAAATAAATAATCGTAATCATATCACTGGTTATATGACAAAAAAATACCAGTCCGTCTACGAACACAAACTAAACATTGAAATCAACACATTACAGAATATAGATGAATGAATAAGATTTGGTCGTGGATTCACTTTTGAAAATTTTTATCTGTTCATTCATATACAATTCCTTATCCTGGATTTCCAATCGATTTCTTTTCATATACATGCAGAGAGAGAGAGAGAGAGAGAGAGAGAGAAAGGGATTGGTACCAGCAGCGGCAGGGGCAGTGGGACGAGAGATGAATCTCATGGGTCGATCTCACCACCACCAGTCAGCCCACATTGTGGTCAAGTCTCCATGTCTATACACACAGATCGGAAAGAGAGCCCAACCCCTTCATACATGGAACTCCGGAGCCAGAGAGAGAGAGAGAGAGAGCTGAGAAAAGAGCGCAGAGACCATAGCGCACTTTACGTAACCAAGCTCAAACTCGAACCGTAGCTTGCAATTAAGGCCTTGTTTGGGAAATTAGATATTTTAATTAGTTATTTGATTTTTTAATTATTTTAATTTGGTTAAAATAGTTATGTTGGAGAAATTGGTTGGCTTTTGTTTGTGGGGTCTGTTTAAGTGTGCAACCCCCTCAAGGTTGCACACCATATGCAACCCAATTGTTAGCCGTTAGATTACAATAATTGATCAAGACCATTGAATTATTTAATCGTGAAAAAGTTGAAACCGGGGCAACCGGTTAATACTTGTATTTGTATTTGCATTATTGCATCCCACTCACTCTTTGTATTTCGTCTCTATCTCTCTCTGTGTAAGGTTGAGTCAATGTAACCCTTGATTTCCATTAACAGCGAGAAGTCCCTGCTGGGTGGGTTCCATTGACGAAGCTCTGTAGAGAACAGTACAACGGGCGATTTCCAACAACAACGGAACTACAAGGCTGTGTTGGTTCGATTGCTGAAGTGAAGCCCTTCTCTCCAACTAGATATAAGGTCTGGAGCTGTCTCCCTCTCTCTGTATCCCTCTCTGTCTCTCTGGCCTCTTCACTTCAGCTATTTTCCCTCAACTAAACCCCCATCCTAACTTCAACCGCTTTACGCTTCGCTCAAACGGAAACCCCTCCATTGGCAACTAACCTTTCTCTTTCTCAAGCGAGTGTTTGTGTTTGCACAAACAACTAAACCGTGTGAAAATGTCATGTTTGTGTTTGTGTGAACATTTTTCGGTCATCAAGTAATTGTTTGTACTAATGTCATGTGCAGCATGGCCCCAGCAGAAGTTAAAAGGGAATGTGATGATTATGGCATTCCAAATGAAGCAGATGACATTCGTTTGATAAATGAAAGTCGGGCAGAACCTTATCATGGTTGCGAAGTTGGTCCGAGCAATGAAGAAGCAACCAACATGAACGTTGAAGATGGCGGAGCCGATGTGAAAAAAGAAATGGTCGACGATGCTCATCGCAATGACATGGTTGGTGATGTTGAACGTACTATTCTGGAACAGAAATTTGATTCGGTCGAAGATGGAGAAGCTTTCTACAATGAGTATGCTAAAGCCAAGAGATTTAGTATACGAAAATCCAGATTTAATACAAATAAAGAGGGAAAGGTCGTTAGTAGGCTGTGGTTGTGTTCAAGGGAAAGTCAGAGATTACCAAAATACTTGGACCATGTTGCTGAGAAGAATAGAGCTCCCAAGGCACTAACAAGAGTAGGTTGCAAAGCCCAAGTTCACATACAGTACGATGTAGATGCTGGTGAAGGGGGAAAGTATGTTGTGACTCACTTCGTCACAGACCACAACCATGAATTGGCGGAACAACACTGTCTGATGTATCTGAGGTCACATCGCACTTTAAACAGCGCTGACAAAGCTCAAGCAATGGCTATTCGCAACGTCGGTGTGAAGACTAGCCAAATCATGGACTATATGGTAATCAATCCGGGTCTTATGAGAATGTTGGTTTCGTCCGTACGGATTTGCACAACCATATTCAAGCCGAACGTAGAGCTGAAGTTGAGAATGATGATGCGGAGGGTGCGTTGGTTTACCTATGTGCAAAACTTGATGTTGATGCACATTTTTTTTACAAGTATGATGTGTGTAACGATAACAAGTTACAAAATCTGTTCTGGGCAGATTCGAAATCGCGGGCCGACTACGCAAAGTTTGGTGATGTGTTGATATTTGACTCAA